AAGGCAGGGGATGTAGCTCAGTGGCGCCATGCCTGCCTGGCAAGCACAAGGTCCTGGAAGTATCTTATTGTCATGGAAGCATCTTATTTCTCCATCAATTTTGATAGTTTTGTGGGGTACATCCTAGTACCAAACAACAACAACAACAACAAAAACAAGAACAGAGCAGAACAACAACAGAAAAACTAGAAATCATGTTCAAACAATCAAGAAGAAACAAAACAAAACAAGAACAAAAATGAGAAAATAGGGAAAAAGAAAAAAGAAGTCCAGTTCAAGGTGTGTCTCTGCTGTCATTGGTAGACAACATGGGCAGACACAGTCCAGAGCCAAATTCATTAATCCCAGCAAACCAGCTGTAGCTTTACAGCGGGGTAGTGGATAATCTCAGCCAGCCTGTACCTTTAGTTCCGCTGAAGTTCAGGCTGGTTTCTGGCTATAAGGCTTAAACCAGATTTGTTGAGACTGCAACAGTTCATGTGCCTCCTGCTTGCTTGAATTCTTCTCTCTGACCTCCTGCTGACATGAACTTGGCACCTTAACCAAGATACCAGGAGCCACTAGATAGAGTCAACCTGTAGCTATTCTGAGTTCTGAGCTCATTTGTCCTCTCTCCAAGATGACTATCAACCAATCAGTCTCTTCTGGGTGACATCTGAAGCTGAATAACTCACCAGCCACTGCAGTCTGGTGCATCCTGTGTTCCATTCCATTCGCATTTCTCTGCGGAGGCCTCTGGGGTCACCAGTGGTTACCATGTGTCTGAAATGCCATTCCCACACAGTGTTACAGTCTCCATGAGGTCATGCTGGTGGTACATAAGAGCCATACAACAAACCCATAGCTAGGAACCGGGACCTTAACCTGGATCTCTTCTCTGCCAGAAACTTCCAGGTCACCAAGGGCAAGTAGCTTCCTAATAATGACTGTCATTTCCTTTTCTGATAAATGGGCTTAGTGATACTGGCCCAGCTTACTTTTCAAGATGTTCTGGCTGGTTAGCTGTAATCCCAGCACTCTGGAAGGCTGAGGCAGGAGGATTACAAATTCAAGCCCAGCCAAGCCAATTCAGCAACTTAGTGAGACCCCATTTCAAAATTAAAAAATAGAAAGAGTTGGGGATGTAGCTCAGTGAGAAGACCCTGAGTTCAATCCCCAGTAATATACATACACACAGGCACGTGCACAGGGACACATGCACATGCATATGCCCACATACAGAGTTTTGAAAATCTAAGCATTTAAACTTGAAAAAGATAAAGTGCTACTAAACCATAGTCTTGAAACAAACTGTGAACATCCCTGGCTTCCCCTTATGGTTCTGGAAAGGTCATTCTGTTCATTGATTTGACATTTCTGGTCCAGCCCAACAATTTAAAAATTATTGTAGCTTTGTAATCTAGTTTAATATCTGTCAGTATTTTTCTTCTTTCATTATTGTTTAAAAATTTTACCTATTCTTACTTTTGTCAAATCAAATCTGGCTGGAAGTTTGATTGCTCTGCCATTAAATATATGTGTGGAGAATTGCATATTTAGAATATTAAGTGCCACCCCCAGGTACATTTTCCCTCTTATCCAACTGTTCCTTTATGACTCTCAGTAGTGCTTTACAAATTTCTGCACACAGAATGAAATCTTCTTCTTTCTTTTGTCCCTTTCTTTCCCTCCTTCCTTCCTGCCTCTGCCTTCCTTTGCTCTCTCCCACCTTCTACTCTCCCTTCTGCATCTCTTCCTCTTCCTTCCCATTCTTTCCTGCAAGGGTCACTAGTTTATACTTTTCTAATAAGAAGCCCTCTTCAATTAAAGACTCTGTGATGAGCTGGCTTCAACAGCCTTCACCTTAAGAATAAGTCAGAGCACAGCCCACTTTGGAAGACAGATATGAAATTATAGATGTTCCAAAGAAACAGAATCACAGTAGTGAGTCTCTCTCTCAGAGAGACACTGCCTTTCCTGACAGTACCCAAGGCCTCTCCAGGCTCTCCCAGCCTTTAGAGCTCAGGAAAATTATAGACACGTACATCCTCCAACTTCCCTGGACCAAGTCACCAGCCTGCATGCACCTTGCACATCCTTGACCCCTCCCTGCCTTTCACAGCCCACCCCAAACCCGTTGCAGAGCATGTTGGCTCTTGCCTCAGGAGAACATGAACTAGACCCCATCTCCAACCTCAACCCTCCTTCAAAATCCTCCTGAATGCTCCCTCTGCTTCCATCAGACTTTCCTGTTGTCTACAGCAGCACAATGACCAGGATCATGTCACATCTCTGGTCAAACTCCTGAAGAGGCTCCCAGTAACCCCCCGAGAAGAGCCAGTGCCCTTCCAGTGGCCTCCCTGGCCTGTGGGGTCAGCCCCACATCCCCACCTATCTCTCCTTCCTGGTCCCTGCCCTTTCACCTTCATTATTTCCTGCTGTTCCTTGAACCCAGCAAACATGGTCCCACCACCAGGCCTTTGCATTTGCTGTCCCCTCTCCCTGGCACTCTTTTCTCCAGGGGCTCACTTTTGTGCTTTTTCAGATGGATCTCTGCCCAGATGTCATCTTCTCAGTGAGGCTTAGCATGCTGTCACCTACTTTTCTCTCTATCACTTTTCATCTGACCTACAGTAAACTGGTTCATTGAGTCCTTCCTCACCTCCCTACAATTGAATGTATAAGCAATGACTTCCTCTCTATTGTCACTGCTGTGTGCTCCTCAGGACCTAGAAGAGAACCTGGCAGAGTGGATGCAGACCCAAAGTGTTTGAATTCCAGGTGCTTGTCCTTGGCATTGTCAGCATCACCAGCTCATTTTTACTTGATATTGTCCCTCCTTTAACTTATACACAAAAATGAGAAATTGTATATGAAACTGTTTACATTTTATCACTCTCAGCTTTGTAATCTCATTCAACTCTCACTTGCAAATGAGATTTTTTTTTAATGGTCCCAAGCTTTGGTTTGACATCTTATTGAAAGCTTTTGCTCTCTCAGGTCCTTGCTCTTTCCTTCTCTGCCCTTGTTAAGCAACATGGTGCAAATCTGGCCCAGAAGACCTGCACACATCTCTTTTTCTTAGTTCCTTAAATCTCCTCCCTCCTCCCTCCTTGGGCCCAGAGACCTGTTTGAGGGGACTTATTCTCATGGGAGGGTGGGACAGGAAAGGATCAGTGGGCCCAGTCTCCTCCTGCCCTCCAAGACTGCTGGTTGGCCCTGGGGAAAGGAGGCTAAACATCCAGCTCCCAGCTCTGGCCCAGCTGTGGGTCTGTCTAGGGAGAATATTCAAGATGAGATCTGCTGGCTTGGGCTGCAGCTGTGAGTGTGCTATGGGCCTTCGATGACCTGCTGCAGATGTCTAGGGGATTATGAGGCTCAGGCCCCATGGAAGCCAGGCTCGGCTTCTCTGTATACATTCATACACGGAGCATGCGAGAGGCCATTCTGTCTTTCTGACTTTGTTCTCTCTCTCCCTGGGTAACCTGCTGGGCTCTTTCTTTGTGTGTCCCTCTTCCTCTGTCCTTGTTCTTACTGACTTCCTACTGTCATTGTCTCTGCCTTTGCCCTAATCCACCCCTTCCTTTCTCTCCTGTTAAGGGTTTATGATTTAGAACTATAGCCTATTATTTCTAAGTTATTGTATTGGACTGAATAAAATGTTAACTTTCCCATTCATATATTTAAAGACTGAGAAGTGGAACAGTATGCATTTTAACATTTTATATAAAATGTTAAACTAGCTAAACACTAGTTTAATTGCCATTTAACTTATATCACTCCAGTTTGAGATCCTTCTATCCTTCAAGTCATTGTCTATCAGCATAAAATTACCCCCTCCCTACCACCCAAGCTCAAGAACTGACTCTGCTCCTCTGACATGGTGACATTTGGAGGTGCTGAGGCCCATAGGAGAACATGGGCCCCAGGCAGAGACAAGGCTCTTGGAATCCAAGCCCCCCCCCATACTTGGAATAGTCCCTGAATAGACCTTATACATCAGGGCAAATGGAGGAGAAAGGCACAAACAGGGTGCAGTGGCCCCATCTTAGAGATGGGGCTTTGGTGCTGTGAGCTGTTTTGGAGCTCAGGGAATAGAAGGAAACTGCCCAGCCCACAACCTTCAGAGAGCCCAGGCAAGGCTGAGAGGAAAGAAAGGAAAGGAAAATAATGACAGTAGCATTAGCATATTCTTACTGAGTACCTGCCTTTATCCATACAAGTATGTCCCAAAACTAAGTAGGACATACACGAAAATATGATTCATTGCCTATCTAAAACCCAGAGATAACTGGTGGTTCTGTCATGCCAAGGGCTAAATCTGGTAATCCTGGCATAGAGAGGTAAAGGGCTTTGTTCAAGGTCACACAACAATTAATTGAAGAGCCAGGATTTAGACCAAGACAGCCTGACTGCAGGGTGAATTCTTAGTTGCCCCCTCTACTGAATCTCTTGTCTTGGTCTCATCTTCCTTTTGTCCAGACCCTCCATCACACTGGCCATGCCTCTCCATGGAGATGTCAAACTGGACCTCCCTTCCCTAGATGGCCCAACTGTCCCTGAATCAGCTCCTTAGCCATGTTCTTTGTGCCTCTCAAAACCACAATTGGTTCACTCCATCAAAATCCATTAACTCAGCACACATCTCTGGGGCACCTGCTACATACAACTCTCTGCTAAAAGTAGCTGTGGCTAATAGATTGGTTCCAGAAAGTGTGGGAACAACTCCTATAACTTCCTCTCCTTCTAGCTTCCACCCAAAATGACCCTGACTAAGGGTCTACTATGCTTAGTCATGTACACAGCCACCTCCAATGAGATATTTGGAGACAATGTCCCTGTGTTTTTCTCTACCCCAGGAAAGCAACTCATTGGGTAATTCCTAGGCTGGGTAAGATGGAAGGATGATACTATGGAGGGCAGAAAAGGGAGCATTTGGGCTCCATGAAGTGCCCTTCATTTCTGTCCTGTGACTGTTCCTGCATAAGACCTTTCCAAAACTCTCCTTCTCTAACTCACAGGTATTACTTCCCATGCCAACGCTGGCTGGCAGTGGAAGAAGATGACGGCCAGCTGTCCAGGGAGCTGTTGCCAGTGGACGAGTCCTATATATTTCCCAGCAAGAATGAAGAGGGTGGGGGACATGGTGGCAATAATCCCCTTGACAACCTGGCCCTGGAGCAAAAAGGTGTCTGAAACTAGAGCATATTTCTTTCCCCAGAAGCCCTCTCCTCCACTCTAGGTCTCTGTTTCCCTTTTTTCTCTCTGGACTCTTGGCACCTCCTCTTACAGTCTCTCTCCTCCATGGCAAGAATATAGAATTCAGGGTGGGAGCATGTTCCCATGTGTCTAGAACAAGGCTTGGTACAAAGGAGGTGGCTTAGGGTGGAGCTATGGCAGCAAGTTCTGAACATCTTTTGTCATTCCCTCCAGACACACTCTAGGCTCCTGATGCAAGAGTCCTGTGATGCTTAAGCTCCTTCTCTGATAGTTGCACCCTTAAAACTCCTCCTAGCCTAAAGGAGTCCAACCAGGACTTCTGACTGTGAGCTTCTGACTCTCCCAGTCACCCCACTTACTCCCTCACTGTTTTATCACCTCTACTGATTGAGAGCTTCCTATGTGAGCCAGGGTCAAAGGACATCATCTCCACTCTCTGAAAGTTTCCAGATTAAAGGCAACTGTAGAATAATCTATAATGCCAGTAAAGTGATCCATGCAAATAGTCAATGTGAACACAAAAATGTACTTATTACTGACCACAGGGATCCCAGGTGTAGAAAGAGCAGAGGAAGAGCTGGAGAGATAGAGCCAGAGTGGGTGAACAGAGGAAGCCCTTCCAGAAGATGTACCCTCCTCCTTCCTCCCTTCATGGGATCCTGGAGCAATCTACAGCTCCCTTCTCCATCTCCTCCTGGCAGATAAATCGACCACATTCTCAGTGACCATAAAGACTGGGAACAAGAAGAATGCAGGCACAGATGCCAACGTCTTCATCACGCTCTTTGGCATGCAAGATGACAATGGTAAGAAAGTGATGCAGGGTCAAGGTTTATCTATTTTCCTCCTAGAGGGACAGGCACATTGCGCCGAAATGTCCAAAGACACTTTGATCAAGCTTCCATCTCCTGGAAGACTGCAGACACTTACTCCCACCAGAGAAAGGCAGTTTCTTTTGTTCTGAAAGATCCCCTCACCTCTGTGCCCACTTTCTCCTCCTGTCCTGATGAAAGAGGTAGTCCTGGCCCTAACTTCATTCCCATAATAACCTGGAAAAGGATGGCTTCTCAAATCACCAGTGACATTCAGCTCATAGACCCCATGATCCTCCAGGAGGAGGTGCTTGGGAAATCTTAGGATTATTCTTGAGCCTCTGCATAGGAACTCAGAGAAGGAGGCATTTAGTGATGGGGTCACATCTACTGATGTCCCATCCAGGCATTTTGTCTGAGTGTAAAGAGGAATCTGTCCTTCAAGTAGACAGCACACATTAGTTCAAAACCCTGCAGGTCCAGAGCCCTGCATAACTGAAGAATGACCTAGCAATCCCTGACCTGGATTGGTTATACTCTAATACTATGGTGTGCTAGTAGAGAGCATAGCTTCAGAGCTTGACTGATTCATATTTCCACTCCACCATTGCTGTGTAACCTTGGGCAAGTTGCTTAACCTTTCTGTGCTTTAGTTTTCCTCATTTATAAAGTAGATATAAAACTCTTATGTGCCTCATAGATTTAGCGCTTTAATGAAATTGAACATGTAAAATAAGATATTTGGTCAAAGAGTACTCAATAAACATTAATCATTATTATGTATAGTTTATATAAAGTGAATGCTATATAACGAAATAATTAGGTCATAACTTATAAATAGAACTGGATTATGATAGTTTCTGAACCACAGTCAGATGAGATCGAGTGTGTTTAGGGTAATATGGCCATAGACCCTGAACCATAGTCAAAGGAATTGATAAGCCTTAACAACTGTGTTTATTTGTCTCTGGCTTTCTATGTGTTGGACACATTCTCAAGCATTCAACCATCATCTTCTTAAGTTTTCTCAACAACCCTACAAGGAAGGCACCGAAACCACCTCTTTTTCACATTTGAGGAAGCCAGATCTCAGAGATATTAAGTAACTGGCCCAAGTCCATGCAGGTAGTAAGAGGCAGAGTCAGGTAGTGGACCAAAGTCTGTCTTGTCTCTCTGTACTCTTAAGCCAGTCTTCAATGGGCTGTAAATGTCAGGAGACTCTCTACATGAGGTGGCACTAAAGCTGGAAGTGGGAGGGGTAAGGAGACAGTGCTCACAGGGGCAGGAAGCAATGGTGGCGATTCTGAAGCCACGTCAAATTTCAGACTGACACACAGCAGCTCCAGGATGGATTCCATATGTGAAACGGCTGGTGGAGGCACTTGAAGCATCTCTCCCTTTGGCATCCTGATAAGAATGTCCTGAGAATTCCAACATGTCCCATCCCCACAGGGCCCTGTTTGCTCAGTGAACATGAGGAGTGAGGGTTGCTTTGACACCTGCTCCCTTCCCTGGTGAAGAACTGTGAGGGGCATGGATGGAGAGCACATGCTCACTTAGAGCCTCACCACCACCTCCTGGGTGATCTTGAATAAGGCCTCCCTTTAGGTATGAACAGAAAATAAAAATGCACACCTGGAAGGGTTATTGTAAAGCTCAATAAAAGGACACACACACACACACACACACACACACACACATACGCACGCACAAGCCCAATGTGCAGAGGTGCTCAGTGGGTGATAATTGAGTAGTCTGAATTTGATTTGAAAAGGGATAAGTTAGACCAGGTTAGAAAGGCCTTAGGGCCAACCAGTGACATTGATATCATCTGGTTGACAGGAATAACCCTCATGAAGTCCTCCAAGACAAACAGTGACAAGTTTGAGAGGGACAGCATTGAAATCTTCACAGTGGAGACGGTGGACCTGGGGGACCTGTGGAAAGTCAGGATCGGCCATGACAACACAGGTCTACTTCCCTCCCCTCTTTTGTTGGCTATAACTGTAAGGACCATGGACAGATCTCTGGGGCCTCTGGGAAAGAAGTTTGGGATCGGATGCCATCTGCCTTCCCTAATAACATAATTTCTCAATCCCTCTTGCCTGACTGTACACAAAGATTCTGCTCTAATTGGGCTGAGTACTGGTGATTTTAAAAGCCAGTAATCTTAATGTGCAGCCAGATCTGAAAATCCCTCATCTGATTCAATGGCTCTCTAACTTGACTGTGCATCAGAATCACCTGAGGGTGGATGGGATACCAAAACAGATTTCTGGGACCCACCCCTAGAGACTTTGATGCAGTGGGTCTGGGGGGCGGGGGCGGGTGCCTAAGAATATGCATATCTCCCAATTCCCTGGGTCATACAGAGGCCACTGATCTAGCGATCCCACTTTGAGAACCACTGAACAAGCCAGCCCTTCATGGAATCCACCCTCACTGCAGCCAGACAGAAGATGGACCCACATCTGTCCTCTCTGAGTAAAGTAGGATTCTTTTTGGGGTTTTTTTTTTTGTTTTTTTTCTAATTCTTTTATTGGTACATTTTAGGTATACAACACAATTACATTTCTCATTGGGAACTTGTACCTTTACATGATACATCTTGGTTCTTATTTTTTCCCCATTCCTAGCCCTCCCTTCACCCCCTCCACCCTTCCCTATTTACAAAGACTTTATTTCCATTTTTTCCATTTCTCATCATTTTTCCTTTCCCTTCTTTCCTTTCCCCTGCACCTCCCACTACCCCTACCCCTTTGGACCTTTTCTTCCTATTTTACATTATCGATTATTCATTCTAATCATTGGTACATTTTAGGTATACAATATAATGACATTCAACATTGGAAATTTGCACCTTTACATAGTCTCTCTTGGTTCTTATTTTTCACCCTTGCCCAGCCCTCCCTTCAACCCCTCCATTCCTCCCTATTTACAAAGATTTTGTTCCTATTTTTCCATTTTCTCATATTAATCCCATTCCCTTCTATCCTTTCCCCTAGCCCTCCCACTTCCTTCCTCTTTGCCCCTTTTCTTCCTATTTCACATTACCTATTATACATTGTGGATGCACACTGAGGCGATACTCTTAAGTGAAATAAATAGGACACACATGTATAAATACCAAATAGTTTCTCTAGTGTGAGAAACTGAAAGTGTAAATAAGGAGTAGGATTCTTTTTCTTGGTCCTAAAACCATCTCTTCTAAGCCTAAGGAAGAAACCTTTGTCCTAGAACCCAGGACTGTCAGGACTGCAGGGAAAGTTTCTGTGTCTGGCTTCCATTTTTTTCTTTAAGTGCTTAAGTGCTACTTTTGCAGGGAGGATCCTCCCACCCTATTCATTTACCACCTTCATCCACCAATAACAGCCAAGAAATGTGTGTCATCCTTGTTATTGGATGAAACAATAAAGTCTTTGTGGACACCAGCTGTCTTTGGTGTCCTGTTTGGAGTCCTCGCACCCTGGACAGCATCCTCATTTCCCTCCCCTCAGACTCCCTATCCCCTCCTTCAATCCCTCTCAGTGTTCCTTCATTGTTGCTGATTTCACTGGCAGAGCTTGGACTGCAATACAGCTTCAGCTGTGTGCACATTTCAACAGGAATCCTCTTGGTAATGCTGTCAGCAAAAGGGTGACACATGAATGGTGGTCATTAGCCATCAAGTAGGAGTCCTTGAGGTCACCCACAAGAAACCATCTCTGAACAAGTCTTTGATGGGCTCTGTGTCTCCTCTCTCTCCAGGCAAAGCCCCAGGCTGGTTTGTAGACTGGGTAGAGGTGGATGCCCCATCTCTTGGAAAGTGCATGACATTTCCCTGTGGCCGCTGGCTGGCCAAGAATGAAGATGATGGGGCCATCGTCAGGGACCTCTTCCACGCGGAGCTTCAGACAAGGCGGTACACACCATGTAGGAACCTCGCGTGACAAGCCCGGTCCTCCTCCAGAATTTTATCAGCTGCCACCCCAGTTCCTTATTCGAGTTAACTCTAGGCAGGGCTCACTTTGGAGATGTGGCTCTCATTTCTTCACCAAATTTCCTGAGCTTGGGGTGGCAGGTGGGGAAGGGAGCTGTGGGCATAGCCCTAAAGCCAGGGCAAGAAAATATAGGATTTATTCCAAACTCCACCCCAAACTATCTAGTGACAGTGTGTAGAGAGCCCTACCTCTCTAGGCTTCACCTTCCTCATTTGCAAGAGAGATAATAATGCAGTGTGTTGCAACATCAAAAAAGAACGATCTCTCCAGGCATGATGGTGCACACTTGTAATCCTAGCACTCTGGGAGGCTGAGGCAGGAGGACTAAAAGTTCAAGTCCAGCCTGGGCAACTTAGTCTCAACCCTGTCTCAAAATTTAAAAAAGGGCTTTAAAAAGGGCTAAGGATGTATCCCAGTGTGAAAGTCTTGGATTCAATCTCCAGTACAGGATAAAAAGAAAAATATCTAGCTGAGGAATTATGATCAACTGCATCCTTATGATCAACCAATCCTTATTCCAGGCATTAACCTGTCAAAGAAATCCCATTCAAATTTTCTGCTGATGGTTGAGTGGAGAACTCAAAAAGATGGTAACTGTAATTGCTTTTACTGTATAAAGGAAAGGAGGAAGGTGAATAATTTGGTGAAGTGTGGACACTTGTCCTTCACTGTTGTCATTCAAGTATATGTATTAAATATTTACAAATAGATAAATTCATTTTAGGAAATGTGAATCAAACTTAAATCAGCCAAAGTGTAAAAATCTGTCTGAATTTGCTGAAATCTGAACCCAGAAAATATAATTTTTTCTAGCTAAATTATGAACAATATTAAAGGATTTCCCCTGATTAACTCATACTCAAACAGCATAAATCAGTGATGCATTTCCCCCTAAAGCAATTAAAGTGGACATGAACAGGTCATCAAAATATTTTCTGAGGGGCTGGGGATTTAGCTCATTGGTTTCACCCCCTGCTGCGCAAGCACAGGGACCCGAGTTTGATCCCTGGTACCAAAAACAAAAACACACAAAAAAATATTTTCTGGTCCAAACCCTGAAATAAAGTGACAGTTCCCTAGGTGAAGCTCCTGGCCCAGCATGTCACAAAGCAGACCTTGAACACATCTCCTGCCCCCAGGAGCCACCTGCAGCTCAGGATGGACTCTGGATGGACAAGTGCACACAGGCTGGTGGCAGGATTGGGTAGGATACTAGAAGGCAGAAATAAGTACCTGTCTCCCTTTGTGCCCTACAACAGGCCTTACTCTGTACCTCACCAAAAGTTTAAATTTGTATGGCCTGACTTTGAATCTGCAGTCAACCCTCAATATCCCTGGGGAGTGGTTCCCATACCCCCACGGATACAAAATCTGCAGGTGCTCAAGTTCCTTGTATGAAACAGTATAACAAAAGCTACACACATTTTCCTATATGCTTTAAATCATCTCTAGGTGGCTTATAATGCCTAATACAATGTGCATGCTATGTAAATAGTTGCTATACTGTTTAGGGAATGATAACAAAAAGTCTGTACATGATTAATTGGACATAATTTTTTGAATATTTTTGACACATGGTTGGTTGAGTCCATGAAGATAGAGGGCTAACTGTGTTCAGTTCTAGCCTGATATTAAAGCTAACTTTTTGGCCCTTGTCTTAGACTCTCATCTGCCAAAAACAGAAAGGAAGGAAAGAGGAAGAGAAGGAGGGAGGGAAGGAAGGAAAGAAATTGTTCAGGAAAGACTTGACTTTCAGACTGAAGATCTGAGATGTCACCTAAACATGTAGCTCTCTCAAGAGAGCAGAGAGGAGGGAGGTGGGAGCAGAGAGGTTATGCTGCTCAGAACCTAATTCTGGAGAAAGTCTCAAGGGGCTCAAAGCCAGGGATGGCAGGAAACAGTGCCCAGCTGTCCCAGAAGACTAGAAACCATCTGAAGCTAGATGTGGCTGCTGGTCAAGGCTGCCTAATAACATGGAACCAGGAAGATCAGACCAGGAGGAGCTGCAGGTACACAGGAGATAGCCATGTATCAGGAAGGGGGCACCTGGTCTGAACATGTAGGCCCAGGAGGAGGTGGGGCACTGCAGAGAGCTCTGAATGTCACAACTGTGCGGTGTCAGATCTGGTAGGGACCTTCAGCTTCCACATACAGTCTGAAAGCCATATAAGGTGAAGGAGGTGTTTCAGAGCAGCTGGTTGAGGGGAAGGGAAAGCCTGAGAGGGAAACTCACACCCTATGCCACCCAGAGCAGCTCCTAGACTTTAAAAAATTGGGTTTTTTCTGAACATTTCTGACAAATGTATTTGTAAGAATCCTTCAGTTAAGCAAACTGGAACCATGATGAAGTTAAGCCTCTTTGGCTTACAGGTAAAAGCCCAAGGACACACAGCTACCAATAGGAAATGCAGAACTAGAAACCAGGAGCCAACTCCTGGCCCAGGGCTGCAGCAATGAGGGCACAAGGGTGGGCTGTTTATACTCAGAAATACCCAGGGCTTGTGTTGCCACTGGTGTCAGGAAAGCCCAGGTCCTATTTCCAGCTTGTCCCTCAGGCCTCTCAGCCTCAACCCGGGGAGAAACCTATTAGGCCTTGGAGGGAGGACTATCATGCTGCAGTGACAGTGCCTCTGTTATTGCTTGAGGGCATGGCAGGGCTGAGACTTCTATTTCTCAGCTACCCATAAGTGGGGGCCCTTTCAGGCCACTGTGGGACTGTGGTCACCCCCATGGTCTGCCCCTTCCTGTGGCTTGTGGGTGGACAACAGCACTTTCTTCCAATTTCCCCTAGAGGTGGACTAACAGGTTCTGTTTCAAGCTTACATTGCACGAAATGATCTTAGGCAAGTTACTTCTCTCTGTGCCTTGGTTTTCTCATATAATAAAATGTATATAAGAATGTCTACTTGGAGAGCCGAGGAGGTGAGCCTGTCCGGCCACTGTACCACCACCCCAGAGTGCTGAGAGGGTGAGCCTCTTGGGCTGCCATTCCACTGCCCCAGAGTGCCGAGGAGGTGAGCCATGCAGGTGCCAGCA